AGCTGATACGCTGAGCTTCTGCGGTCCCTGAAGGCTGCCAAGTCCAGGAGTTCAAGGCCAGCAAATAGAGAAATCTGGTCTTGTCATTTTCCATTTACTTCTTTACTTTGGTTTTTGACACAGTGTCTATGTAATCCTGGCTGGCTTGGAATTTGCTTTGTAGACTGGCCTTGAATTCTCAATCCACCTTAAGGTGTGTGGCACCGTGCATAGCTCCAATGCATTCACTTATTATTTTTGGAGACAGGCTTTTCCTGTATAGCTCTGACTCTGACTGTCCTGAACTTGATCTGTAGACCAGGTTGGCTCTGAACTCGAGATGGGCCTGCCTCTGCATTCTAAATCCTGGGATTAAAAGGCCAGTGCTACCATCACCCAGCTCCCCTGCATTTATTTTATTGGTTTTGTTTGTTTGAGACAGGGCTTCTCTGTATAGTTTTGGAGCCTGTCCTGGTACTCACTCTGTAGATCAGGCTGGCCTCAAACTCAGAGATCCACCTGCCTCTGCTTCCCCAGTGCTGGAACTAAAGGTGTGCACCACCACCACCACCAGGCAAAAGATTTACTTCTACTTTTAATGATAAAATTAAAAAAGCAAAGGCCAGAGGGCTATAGACAGTATGAGTCACCCAATCAATGTGGGTGCTTGGAAACAAACTCGGGTTCTTTGTAATAATCATACATGGTCTAAGCCACTAAGACAACTCTCCAGCCCATTTTAGTTTAAAAATTATTAGTATGTCTTAGGGTTACTATTGTTTTGATAAAACACCATGACTAAAAGCAGCTTGAGAAGGAAAAGGTTTATTTTATCTTACAACTTGTACTTCACTATCCAGGGAAGTTAGCAAGAAGTGAAGGCAGGAACCTGGATTTAGGAGCCAATGCACAGGGCATGGAGGAGTGCTACTTACAGGCTTGCTCCTTCCTGGCTTGCTCAGCTTGCTTTCTTATAGCAACACCCTGGGCAGATTACCTGTCTAGGGACTGCATCATCCACAATGGGCTGGACCATTCCCATGTGAATCAGTAAGAAAATGGACTACAGACTTGCATACAGACCAGTCTTATGGGGGCATTTTCTCAACTGAGAGTCCTTCATCCCAAATGATTCTGGCTTGTATCAAGCTGATGTAAAACTAGCCAGGACTGTGTGTGTATGTCTATGTATACATAAGTGCATATATACATTCACGCATACATGTGAACACACATGCCACAGTTCGCACACACCCGTGTGTGTGTGTGTGTGTGTGTGTGTGTGTGTGTGTGTAGGACAGAAGATCCCCTGAAGCAGGAATTAGAGGCAGGTGTAAGCCACTTGATGTGGGTGCTGGGAACCAACCCTAAGTTCTCCAGAACAGCAGCAAGCACTCTTAGCTGCTGAGTTCTCCCTAGTGCCCTACCCTGATATTTATTACTGGTGATGCCCCATGACGTCTCTGCTTTCCTTGTCAGATGATCACTCACAGCTTCCCCTGCCAGTAACTGACAGCAGAAATTCGAGGCATGATGGGGAGGTACAAAGACTGGCTCCCTTCTTCACTGTGGTACAATCTGTGCTGAGTCCCTCAGAGGCTCAGACTGAAGACAATCTCCACTTATACCGGTCTCCCTTTAGTGTTAGGCCTGCCCTACTTGCAGCTTTTCTCCTGAGAGCCCGTCCCTCATAAATCACCTCAAGAATTTTCATCTTACACTGTGCTTCTCGGGGACCCACTGCATAACACCGTGTTGTGAGGGAGAGTCCAGTAACTTCTGATATCAGTCTGCTTTCTGTTATGACACTTGAGACGGTGCTTTGTAAAGAAAAGTGAATTTGGAACTGGAGAGTTGGCTCATAGGTTAAGAGCACCTGCTATTCTTGTGGAGAACCCAAGTTCGATGTCCAGTACAAAGGACATCAACTCACAACTACCTGAGATCTGATGCCCTCTTCTGGCCTCCTTGGGCAGTGCACTCACATCCACAAACCCCACACAGAACCGTTGTGGGATATTAGTACACTATGTGAAGGTATATTGCTGTGATTGGTGTAATAAAGAGCTGAATGTCCAATAGCTAGGCAGGAGGTATAGGTGGTACTTCCAGGCAGAGAGAGGAAGTGCAGTGGAGATGCCAATAAGACACGGAGTTGGACACACAAAATGAAAGAAAGGTAAAAAGGTCACGTGGTAAAACATAGATTAATAAAAGCAAGTTTATTTAAGTTACAAAAGCTAGTGGGACAAGCTCAAACTAAGGCCAAGCTTTCATAATTAATAAGTCTCCCTGTCAGCCAGGTAGTGGTGGAGCACCCTTTTAATCTCAGCACTTGGGAGGCAGAGGCAGGGGGATCACTACAAGTTTGAGGCCAGCTTGGTCTACAGAGTGAGTTCCAGGACAGCCAGGGCTGTTACAGAGAAACCCTATCTCGGGGGAAAAAAAAAAAAAAAGTCTCCGTTATTTGTGAGCTAGCTGCCCAAAGAAAGATTCAACTACATATGAGTAAAGTGGCTACCTCACAAGCCTGAGAACCTGAGTACAGGATACCACTAGTGGAATAAAGGGGGTGTGGCAGCCTGCTTCCGGTGCTGGGTGGGGTAGAGAGACAAGAAGACATTGGCCATTGACACCCATGCACCTCTACACACAATCTGCAGGGCACAGTAGCATCCCCCTGGGCCCTGGAGAAGGGGGTGAAGTACCAAGCAGGATCCCTCTGCCATACCTTCACTAACTCAACACATAATTCTCACACCTTGGCAGTGGCTGAGTGGTACCCCACTCCCAACTAGTTCATAGATACAATCTCTGGGAGCCCCTCAGTGTTATTGCAACTCCCAGAACACACTTCCCTGGCAGAAGTGGAGGTAGAGACGGAAGAACCCTAGAACTTATTGACCAACTAGCCTAGCTGATTCTGTGCTGTGAGCTCCAGGTTCAATGAGATACTCTGCCTCAAAAAATAAGGTGGAAGACCAGGCATGTTGGTGCACACCTTTGATCCCAGCACTCCTAGGCAAAAGCAAGTAGATCTCTGTGAGTTTAAGGTCAGCCTGGTCTACATAGCTAGTTCAGGACAGCCAGGACTACATAGAGAACCTGTCTTTAAAAAGCCAGGCATTGGTGGCACATGCCTTTGATCCTAGCACTCAGGAGGCAGAGGCAGGCGGATCTCTGTGAGTTCAAGGCCATCCTGGTCTACAGAGTGAATGCCAGGATAGGCTCCAAAGCTACATAAAGAAACCCTGTCTCGAAAAATAAAATAAAACAAACAAAAACCTAAATAAATAGCTGGGCGGTGGTGATGCATGCCTTTAATCCCAGCACTCAGAAGGCAGACAGGCAGATTTCCATGAGTTCCCGGTCAGCCTGGTCTACAGAGCAAGTTCCAGGACAGCCAAGGCTACAGAGAACTCTGTCTTGAAAAACAAAACGAAAAAAACACTAAACTAAATAAGGTAGAGAGTGATCAAGGAAGACACTAGAGGTTAACCTTTGGCCAGAGGTCACACTGCCCACACCCTTACCCCCCCACACAAAACAAACAAAAAACTGGGCTTGGTGGCTTATGCCTATAATCCAGCTAGAAGGCAGAATATGAATTCTTTTGTTGTTGCTGTTTTTTGAGACAGGGTTTTTCTGTGTAAACCAGGCTGGCCTGGAACTCAGACATCCTCCTGCTTCTGCCTCCAGAGTGCTGGGATTAAAGTCATGTACAACCACCACCCTTTGGAGGATTCTTATTAGTCTGGGCTACATAGTTAAGATCATGTAGCTAGAGCTCAACAGTAAGACTGTCTCAAAAGATCCCAAATCCAAACAACAAAGGCCTAAACAAAACCAGGAGTGCTAATACAATGATAAAATACCTTCACTTCCCTAGAACAGTACCTGGAACATAGCAAATGCTCAACAAATACTCTTAACTGAACACACTTTCTCAGAGCTTTACTGTCAGCACCTCTTCTACCCTAGAAGGCCTGGCAAGGAGGCATTGTGAGTCATAGCTGGCAGACAAGTGGGGTGAAGTGGTCCAGAAATGGGGCCAGCCCTGAGACAGCAGCTTGGGCACCTCCACCACATCTTCCAGGTGAGGAACATCTTTCAAAGAATGTCAGGGAACAGCGTTCTGGGGAGTTGTGACCTCAAGGATGGACATGTGGGGGCTCCCAGAGACAGTCTCCATGAACTAAATAAGGGTGGGGATCAGCCTGCCTCTGCCCAAATGCAGAAGTGTGTGTTGATTTAATGAAGGTGTGGCAGAGGTAACCCTGCCTCTATTTCTCTTTACTTCCACCGTGGGCAGGAGAGGTATTTAAAACAACACACCCTAGAATCAGCACTTTGCAAGTGTTGGGAAAAGAGATAAGAAGCAGTTAGAATGGGAATCTGGGCTTTAGAATCCTTGAGGTAGTAGTCAACTCTGCTGTTCAGAATCCCAGTCACGTTAAAGCTAGGCATAGGTTTAGGCTAACACACGTGTCCCAGGATGTCACTGATGACACTGGACTTTAATAAGCATGTTTTTCCAGCTGGACCAGGAGCATCTTGAGGTGTAGACAAAGGCTGTGCTGATGGTACCCTCTGTGCAGACCAGACCAGGCAAGGAGTTATGCCAGACATCTTACCAGACAAGATACTCTATAGAATCCATAATAATTTTGGCTTTGCAACCTTCAGCAGCCTCCCCTAAAGAGTGACATCTCAATTGTTCAGCTTGCCTGTACTGCACCTCAAGATGCCCTGGTTCATCTTTCTAGCCTACTTTACTGCTATTCTCAGAGCCAACCCTATCCCCAGACTCTTCCACACATCTGGAACGTGACAGTCTTGCCCCACTGTCTCATAGATCTCCATTACATTCCTATTCCACTTAGCCTGACCTACTTGCTCTGCTACTGACTGACACTCCCCATCCTGCCGCTGCCATCCCCACCCTGCGGTCCCTTCCAGCTGCATATCAGAGAACAGGGTCCCCAGGCCTTTTACCTACATTATCTCTTACACACCCACAAATGAAGGGTCCTTGGGGAGTTGAGTTTGGTGAACGAGGCTGTTACGACTATGTAGGAATGGGCCCTCCCAGTGGCCTGGAACTGCAGAACCTGGACACCCTGGGTGGTGAGGACAGCCTGTTCTGAGCAGGCCAC